TCTTTCCCTCTGCTCTGCATAGCTGGCCACACCTCCTTCCCCCCTGCATGGCCAGGCCATGCCCAAGTGGCTGGGCCATGCCCTCTTTCTCCCCACATGGCTGAATGAGGGTGGGGCTGCCTCCTATTCCTGTCCGTGTGTCCAGATTAGGCCCACTAGCTAGATTGGCCTGTAGAGGGACCAGGAACTGCCCATTCAGCCCATGGGACATAATGGTTAAGCACCACTGGTCTAACCAAAATGAGTATATATGGATATAGCACAAGCTATTGTGAGCCCAAGCTCATCTGATGCTTGGCTATACCTATACCTAGCCAAGATCTAGTGAACAACAGTAAAGATTATTTGATTGTGGCCTAACTTTTGATGTCTTTAATAAGCTACAGCAGTGGGAGCAGGTGTCTCTTTTGGGCAGGTATGCCACAATTGGCCCAGTATCCTCCCCACTCTGATCCCCTTCCCCTGCCAGATCTGCTGTTCTGCTTTCTGCTTCCTTCTCTGTGCTCCCTGCCCAACATGATAATTTGTTTTCTGCTTCCTGCCTGATCTGCCACTGTGCTCCCTGCCCCCTCCCTGATCTGACCCATGCCACACATATAGGCTTCCAGTGCTACTTGTGGCACCCATACTGCAGATTGGCCACCCTTGAACTATACTATGTAATACTGGTGAGTTATGGGTAAATCCCTTGGAGTGCCACATAGCAGCAAAGGGAGTGGATGAATAGGTGGAATTCTTCATATCTTCTCTGGGACAGGATGAGGAAAATGCCCCTTAGAGCCTTACATGGCTCCCCTTAGTGCTGAGCAAGACACAGGAAGACTGCCTTCTAGCCATTCATCACTGGCTACTTACTGAGTAATGGCTTTCTTTTCAGAGAAGATTCTCAGGCAGAAGTCAGCTTCCCGGTGTGGCTCAAAAGTGCTAGGAATAAGAACATAATCCCCAGGTGGCAGCTGGAATCGATCAGAGACTTCCCTTAGATTAATGTAGGTTTTGCTCCTTGCCTTGGAAGCATGGTATCTGAAGAAGTCTTTGGGCAAGTGGTCATCCGAGCTAGGGCTCTGCAATAGAGATACTTTTTAATTACTGTGTTCGGAGTAATCAAAGTTTTGGGACAGATACATCAGACTCTCACCATTCTTCATGATCTAGAATCACAGAGCCAAACTTCCACCCTTGAATGCATGCATAATGCAGCCTACCATTAATGATCAGAGAGCCATTGCTGGCACCCTGGCCTTCGTCTCACCTTACTCTGTCATGCAAAGTAGAGCTGGGATGCAGTGAACAGTCTAGCTCAATGCTTCTCAAACTTTTTTGTACCAGGACCCATTTGTAAACATTGTTGGGTAGTCCTGACTCAATAAATGGTTTAAATAGAAAACAGCCCCCTGGCTCTGCCAGTGCCCCCACCTCCTAAACCACAGACCCCCACTCCTCCCAGCCCTACTGGTGCTCCTAACTCCTGACCCACTTCCACCTGTCCCCAGCTCCCCAGTGTGTGGGGCAGGGGGTGGGACATGGTGGGGAATGTGCCCCCCACCCCATATTTGTGCATCCACAATAGGCACAGGGCTGCAGCCTGGCCAGCCTGGAACAGGAAGGAGACACCTCCATGGTCCAGCAGGCAGTACCAGCACAGGAGGGCAGAGTGGGGCAGTGAGGTTTGTTGCTGCTACCACCACTGGAACCCCTGCGCCAGCTGTGCCAGCAACAGCATGAGGAATAATGGATGTGGGGGAAGTAGGGCGCTGCACTGTGCTCACCTCCTCCCACTGCCAGCTGCTCATGCACTGGGCTGTGGCTCTACCCTGATGTCATGGCACAGCCACCACTGCTGCCCTCCTGAGGTTGCCCATGCTGCCTATCAGCTCCCATGTCCTGAAGGATAGAGCTGTGGCCTGAGGGGAGTGGTGGCCAATGTTCCCTCTAAGGGGTAGCGGGACACTGCGGGACATGCCCCGCAAGGCCATATGGGGGAGCAGAGCAGTGTCCCGGAGCCGGCGGAGCCTCACTGGGGCAGGCAGCGGCTCCTCCCTGAGGTGAGGCAAGGCAGGGATGGAGGTTGGCATGGGGGGCTGGCGCGGGCTTTGCCGGCTCCGGGGAAGTGCTCCACTCCCCGGTCCTGATGTGGGGGAGCAAAGCACTTCCCTGGAGCCGGCGGAGCCCATGCCAGCCCCCGGCCCCAGCCTGTCCTGCTGCGTGGCCTTGAAAAGGCTGTGCACGGCCACACATTTAGTTGTGTGTGGCCGCGCATGCGTGCACCTTAGAGGGAACCTTGGTGGTGGCGGCGGTGGCAGATGGGCCATGGCAGTGGGGTAGAGGGTGAGTGGCTGGCAGTGGGAGGAGGTGAGGGCACTGCAGCCCCCACCCCAGCCATTATTTCTCGTGTTGCTGGTGGCATGGCTGGTGTGGGGGTCCCAGCAGTGGCAAGTCTCTCTTAACCACTCTGTCCTCCTGCACTGGGTCCTGCCTGCTGGGTTGTGGAGGCAGCTTCTGACTGTGCCAGTCCAGACAGGCTACAGACCCGTGCCCGCTGTGGACACACAAATCTGGTGGGGCATTTGCCTCCCCTCTCTCCCTTGATGCATCATCTATGCCCCACTTCCCACACCCAATAGACTTACCTGCAGAGAACTGCAGGAGCTGCTCTCCACACTGCCTGGTTGTCATGTACATGTCTGCACATGCACATGCATGTGGCACCCCCTACCTGATCACTGTCCTCCCATTCCCCCCAGCTACAAGCAGCCCCTTGCAGGCTGCAACTCTGCAAGGGGAAACCCACCATTTCCCACATTTTTCTCCTTTAAAGGAGAATCCATTTTTAAGGTTTGTTCATGACCCTTTCATATATTCTTGTGACCCACTTTGGGTTGTGACCCATGAGTTGAGAAATGCTGGTCTGACTCTCAGATGCTTTGACAAAACTGCAGGGGTCTCAGGAAAGCGGAAGTCCATTTGCCACAAGGCAACGGCCTTCTCTAGAAAGGACAATTTAAAGGAAAACCTAAGCTCTCTATGAATTGTTTAAAGAATGCAGATGATTAGAGACTAAAATAGTGAGTGTGATATACCAAATTAGACTGGTATAGCACCCAGACAGACACAGACACAGAATGGTAATTGCATTCTAAAAAAATAAGTACAGTACCTCATAAATAGAATAGCCAATTGTTAGCATTTCAGCACCTATTTTTTTGAGTTTACGCCGATCCTTTTGCATCAGAGCCACTAAAAATGTGCATTCATCTTGCCCATCATCTTTCTCTGTCAAACATAGCTTGATTTGTGGATTTGTCCAAAAGGTCTCTGCCAATGGAAAGAATACCAGATTTTTTTCCCCTCAAAAAAACAAACGAAAGCAAAACCCAAAAAACAGAACCAAAAAAGGACAATGGAAATTACAATGAGGTTTGGGTCATCTTCCCTCCACCCTCAACACCAACATTTTCAATCCTATATTACAATTATCTCATTACAACTCTGCCGAAACTCAAACAAATCCTGAACTGCTTACTGAGGTTTGGTATACATAAGAACATATTTCAGACCTAATATTTCATTAAATGGCAATGGCTTAAATAAGAGATAAAAGTTAGAGGATGTTTGAGGTTTTGTTGAAAACAAATGAGGTTTTATGAAAATACAAAGGGTCAACTCTTGGCGTGATAATACGACTGGAGGTTCCTCTCCCTTGTACTCTCTGCTGTAAGGTTATTGATCTTACTGGAATTATTACTGATTTATGCAAGAAGAATCAGACCCAGTAAACTTAAAGGTAAAGAAAAAAGTATTTTTTGCCCTGAAAATCTCAAGCAGAATGTTAAGGACATTTTGATATTTGGTTGGGTTAAGTTAGTTGAGATTCTTTTGGCCTTGTTCTTTGCACACTTGTGGCTGGAGTAAGGGAGAAATAAAGAACTCTTTGTCTGTAATGGATACTTCCATAAGAGTATGACACTTTCCAGAGAAATAGATGTTCACCTAGAAAATTTCTGCATCCTCCAGCAGTAGAACCCCGGACCCAGCTCCCTTGGTGAACTGTCACCTCCCACTTCTGAGCAGCATTGCCGGCAAGTGCATCAGGTGTGAGGTTGCAGATCTCCACTTTATCAAAATGTGTTTTAAAGTCTTCAAATTTCATCCTAAATGAAAGACCAGAGAAAGAACTCAGTGTTTTGCACTAGTGACACACCACCAGCAGCAGCCTGGTAAAAATGTACTCCCATAAGCTCATTCTGTTCTCAGACCATCAGAACACAGAGGTAGACCACCAGCTAGTGTACACCAGAGCACCACCACTGGCTATACACTGAGCTATGCTGATATACACTTTATACAGCTGTCCAGGACCTGTCTCGGCAGGCATGCATCTCCTCTCATTTACATTGGTGTTAGTCCCTTCACTGATATAAGTGAGCCTGATTAATGTCTTTCTGGGTGCATCTACATGTGTGTTTTAATGCACATTTAGCCTATTTTAATGTGCATTAAAGTGTCACACAAAAATCTGTGCTATTTCATTAATGCACATTAAAATAGGCTAATATGCATTTAGCGTCCCTTAAAATGGTGCTCTTTAGTTAATGTGCATTAAGACAGGCATAATGTTCATTTTCCTAGTATGTCACGATGGAGGTACAAGATTTAATGTGCATTAACTGAAACACATTAATGCATGTGTAGATGTCCTCTGAGATGACTCTTGCAGTGTTCTAACTTCACTAACTGCAGTTGAGTTATGGCAAAATCTGGATTGCCTGCTTAGGCACCTCAACTGTAGGCATCAAAATGACTGAAATTAGACATCTGACCTCAGTAGGGTCTGCATTCAGAACTCAGCATCACAGCTGGAGTGAGAAACAATGGGAGAAACAGTCACTACATACAAAACGACATGAACCATACCCCTAGGAACCATACACGCAGCAAAGGAAATAAAGAAGGAAAATAATGTAGTGGAGCACATATTTCATGCTGGACAGGTAGTGATTAGTGAACGTAAGTGTCCTGGTAAGCTGAGAAGACACAGCCCCCTCAAGCTGGCATGCAGATGGTGCAGACCTTCCATGTATCATGAGACCCATATTCTGCTGCACAAGTAACACCTGTCTGGGGCCCCTTTAATTTACACTCAACTAGAGCCTTTTCACAACTTGAGTTTGTGGAAGAGCAAACAACAGTTTTTGTTCTTACTGCACATCTCGCCTTTTTTCTTCAGTACACATGACTCTAGCTCTGAATGCCAGGCTGACTCTAATTCTGACTTCAGTCCTTGGCACTATGAGAACCAGAGGAGAATAACAGCACCTCTTGGTTCTACGTAGCTAGCTCAATTTCCTAGTCACACTGTGCCATTTATGGCTTTTTGGCCACATGCTGTAAAACTGACAGGGCACTCAGATCTTATGAGTTAGATTTTGCTCTTAATTACACAGATGTAAATGTGAAGGGATTCCCCTTACTTCACTGGACTTGTTCTACATTTATATTGGTTTAAATGGGAGCAGAATTTGAACCTGCATCTGTGGGAGGTGGTTCATTTCCTAACCACTACCAGTATCCTTGGTATTGGCTACCCCTCCCATCTGCTAGAAAAACAGTAATGAATATAAAATATGATCTCCTCAGTAGTCTTCTCTTACAAGACTGATTTTAGGTATACCTGGTGTAAATCCAGAATAATTTAGTTTAAATGACTGATTTCAGAAGCCAGCCCTGGACACATTAATATTTTGCTTAGTCACTAGGAAACAAAAAAGTAAATGGGACCAAAAGAATTATTAAAAATGCATTACCTGTTCAAGATGTCTTACATGTACTTTAAAATTTGCAAAACACAGTTCACTCAGCCTTTTCTCATTTTCTTAATGCCAGGAGTGTCAAACATCTGACTAATAAAGCTGTTTCACTCTGCCCATGGGGCTCCTAGAGGGGCCAGGAAGGGCAGGGCCTGCTACTGAATTCCAAACTACAGAGCCCCAATGGGAACACGTGTCAGTGGCAGGATGAGCGACAGCTGTGTTAACCTTCTGCTCTCTCTGCCACTGCTACTACCATGAAGTATAGAGCTAGCCTGGGAAGCTCCTTGCAGTCCAGACCCAGCCTCTGAGAGGACCCACGATTTGGATCCTGCCCAGAGCAAAGGTGAATTTGACACTCCTGCCTTGTGCTGTTTTGACAATGTGACATTCACTAGACCCTCTCATCTCTTGACCATTTTCCCATTTCTATTTGAAATGAAACCATATAAATAGTAGGGCTGTGTGAGGCTCTGGTCCCTGATCCAATTCAGCAGAGCTTTGGCCCGATTCGGTGGCCAAATCTCTGAATCCGAATCAAATCAGAGGACCCTTTAATCTCTCCAAATCGAATTGGAACCCTCTGAATCGATTCAGCGATTCGGACATAGAGACAGCTTTAAATATTTTTTCTACATTCCTCTAGGTTGCAGGGGCTCGTGAATGCTGTGATGGTGGGGCAGATGAAACATCCCACAGAGTGTGTGTGGGGGGGGGGGGGCTGGTGGGGTGTGGGGGGGGGGTGGGAGGGGGGTCCCCTAGTGTGCTTGGCAACAGACAGGGAAATGGACCAGAAGGACTTCCGGTCCACTTCCAGTCTTCCAGGAAGCATGCTGGGGGCCCCCCCTGTGCCTCCCAGCTCAGTGACTGGTGCCTCCTGGGTCTGGGGGGACACCCAGGATTCCCCTGTGGCCAATCACTGAGCTAGGGGTACCTGGGGGGGGGGCCCTCAGCATGCTCCGCAGCGGACCTGGAAGTGGACCGGAAGTACTTCTGGGTTTGCTGTCGAGCACATGGAGGGCCCCCCCACACTTCTGTGGGATGCTCCATAGGCCCCAGCATCGCAGTATTCATGAGCCATGCTGGTATGTCGAGGTATGTAAAAAAAACTTTTAAAGTTGTGTCTATGTCTGAATTGCTGATTCTCTGAATCAGCATCAAATCTTCAGATTCAGATTCAGCCAAAACAAATCAGGGACAGTGATCCGAATCAATGAATCAAATCCAGGTCTCCTCCAGGCCAGTGGCAGAACCAAGAATCAAATCCAGTTCTCCTGAGTTCCAGTCAAGGACTCTACATACAAGGCCATATTGCTCTAAAAGACAGCAAACTACAGGCACGAAAATTATAAGAAAACTTCAAAAACTAATATGTTAGGTTTTTGCTCATTTAATTCTTTCATATTTTAAGGCAGGGGTGGCAAACTCATCTGGCCTTGCAGCAGTTGAGTGGCCCAGGACCAATCCATGGGCAAGATGAACAGCACAGGGTCAGTCACACAGGCTGGATCAGGCCCATGGGCCACCCACTGCGTTCTGGATCCACTGCCCACAGCACTTGCTTTGGCTGGTCTGGGATAGCACCACACATAGAACTTGCTCTGACTGGATTGGGATGTGAGTGGCACAAAGCACCTGCTCCAGGCAATCAAGGGTGGATACAGGGTACAGTGTGGGCCCTGGACCAGCTGGAATGGGCTCTGTATGCAGCGCAGTCCTGGACCAGCCAAAGTGGGCATTGCATCTGGCATGTGGGGGACCCACAAAGCCCTCTTTCTCCTTCACCCTCCACTTGCTGGATTCCACACCTGCTCTAGCTGGTCTGGGACTACACTGCACACATGGTGCTCTCTCCATGACCTATACTGCATGCAGTACCTGACCCAGTCCAGCTGGAGCAGGCACCACATGCAGGCCATTTTGGACAGGCCAAAACAGCCATGGCTGCTGGGGTCAGCATGTGGAAGGGTCCTGAATAGTGTCTGGGAGGGGCCAACACTAGGGGCTGGATGATGTGGCTCTGTGAGCTAGATTTCTGACACCAGGGCTTTAAGGAAACACACAACACAAAGTACAGGGAAAGTGCATTTGTGTGGCCTCTGATGTGCTACTGTGAAAGGAATGAGTCAGCCTTTCACAAGGTGAGGCCCACCTGGGACAAAGTGGTAAACCATGCTTTGAGAGATGACACAATCCAAGTGGTATTAGTAGGCATAAATGTGATGAACAGGTGTGGAAGGTTTTTAAACAGTCAAAACCTGCTAAACTTGATCTTGATAATTTGCTTACAGTTTGCCAACCATTTGTGTCTGAGTCAATCAGTGGCCTTCATCTGCCACCTGAGAAGGTTAGAACTCACAGGGTGAGTCTACATGAGACACTTTAAGGTGTATTAGTCTAAATTTAAGGTGCATTAGGGTGTGCATTTACAAGTGTGTGCTTTAAAAATGGAGAATTTAGGCTATGCACGCCTAAATGCAGGTATCAAATTTAGGCACAAATAGTTAAAGTGCATTAATGAATGTGTAGACGCATTAAAGCGCATTAACACTTTGTGTGTGGACTGACTTGGGACTAAATTTAGTCCCAAGTCAGTCCACACACAAAGTGTTAATGCGCTTTAATGCGTCTACACATTCATTAATGCACTTTAACACCTGCATGTGTAGATGCCTGCCTAAACCCACTTAATACTCATTAAAGTTTAGGCACACTTAAATACACATGTAGACACACCCACAGGTCTTGAATATTAAGTCCCAATTAACAGATAGATTTCCCTGCACAATCATCATGCCATTTGTGAGCATTTAACTCTACTCCATATTTTCACTTAACGACAAACACCAGTAAAATAAAAAAGAATACTGTATTCTATATAAAAATATCAGTCAGTGGATTATTTTTTTTCTGGATCCTGCAGTTTGCAGAGAAATCACCTTTGTTTGATCCATCATGTTGCATAGCATTACATCTTAAATCCCTTTTTAGAGTAATAATTGGACTTAGGTTGTACTACATGCAGTAATATTGCACTGTAAATATAGAGTAACTACACTGGTGGAAATATTACTTTGTTTTACACTAGTATAAATGAGATCAGCATCAAGCCTTAGAGCCATACCAATTGTACAGAACTAAAGTTCTCCCTGTGTCAACACCAGGCAGACACAACTTCACTAGTGCATGGTATGGCTGATACAGGTGGGCACCATCTGTAGATCATCTATTTGCTGTCTTTCGGGTTGTTCCTCCCACAATATCTCAATTGTTCTCAATAATATTATATGTTTTCACAGCAGTTTCCATATAAGGTTCTGTGCTCACTTTCTCATTTGTTTTCATCTTTCATTTTAGTTTATGGTACTTCATCATTCCACTCTATTGCATATATCCTCCAAAGGGGTGTTTACTCCAAAGGTGTTGAGTATCAATCATTACATGTGTATCAATCACAAATGATCATACACATTTACAACTACTGGTAACATCAAGCCCTATGAACCAGTTTTAGGAATTAGGGAATCTACTGTGCAGTGAAAGTCTGTCCTGACGGTGCTAGGAATACCATAGGGTCAGTCTGGAGCATAGTAGTTATCTCAGCACAAAGCTCATACAGAAAATGAGCTCTTGAGAGGTTCTGAGCACCACCAGGTCCCAATGAAACTTGCATGAGTGGTAAGGCCTTGGCATCACTCTGGGTGTGACCTGTCATAGTCTAAATATGTTAATGCAAAATCTTAAGGAAACCATATTAAACATCTTAAAGATATACTCTGTTATTAAGAATATCTGTATTCAAAGTGATGTGAATCTTGAGGTATTTGCAGACCTGACACTTAGATTGACCTAACTCAGTGGAGTTAGGTTGAGGAGTTTAGACTGGGCAAAAATGGCTGGCCTGATCAAACTTAGTTCACCTAAGGAAGCATCCTATGTAGACTGGGCTAAGAGTTGCCTGATCTAATTGAAAGTGTGTACATATTTGGAGCCCCAGGGCTGTGCCTTTCCTAACCCTTCAAACTTACCAGGCTATTTTTAGCCCTCCAGTGCCCCCAGTCCCAGACAGACAAGCTCCCTCACTGTGGACCCATAAGACCCAATGGCCTCCCCTAATACTGTCCACTCTACACCCCCCACAACTTACTTAGATCACATTCCCACATTCCAGTGGCTCCTCATATCAGTGAACATGTGCACAAATGGGGACCTGATCTATGATTTTTCAGCTTAAAGCAAGCCACGTGATTGTAGATTGGGTCTCCCAAACACATGTACATGCCCTGGTTTTATTGACCTTGCCTTCTCTTTGGATTAACTTAATAATTTCCTTGTTCAGAGACACCCTTCTCTTCACCCATGGCTTGCTTGCTTACTCTCTTCATTTTTCTCCAGAATCTATGCTATTAAACAGGGTACCATACCAGAACTCCCCATCATCCAGTGAAGTCTGACATAAGCGTTTCCTTTCAGATGGGCTGACCAAACGCCACTCAGAAGAACTACAAGAAAAGAGAAATCAAACTTTACAAGGCTACATGGCATTTCCTGTTCCCTCACTCAAAATACCAGCTGGACCTTTTAGCAGATGATAACTCTTTCAGATTGGTTGTATTTGAACAGTAGGCACAGCAGATACCTCTGAGGGTGCTTGCTTGCTCCTGCTTTCACTCAAGCCATTGGAAAAACTGTTGACTTAGATGGTGGCAGGATCAGTCTTGATATCTCTAGATGGCTGTGTACTGTATTAACCAGTACTCCTGTGTTTGCAATAGTGCTCAACCTGAGGACAGAGTATACTGCAGAAACCAAGGTCCATTTAAGTACTATGATCCAAGCTCTAGATAAGCCTCAAGGTTTTAGTAACCTGCTGTGCTGTAAACCTTATTTTTATACCCGTATCATTGTTGCCAATGGGCGTATCTACATGAGATGCTTAATGCCCATTGGACTAATTCTATTGCACATTAATGTGGCCAGCAAAAACCATGATAATGTGCAGTAGATTAGACCAATGGGAATTAGGCATCATACAAAAGCATTCAGTTATTACAGGTACTAAATAATGTGCCATAATTTCGGCACATTAATGAATGTGTAGACACACCTAGTAATTTAGAGTCAGATCCTGCTTCAAATAAAGTAAGTGGAAGTAGACAGAGCTCTTATACTTTGTAAGGGAAAAGATATATTCAAATAACTGAAGTTCTATTTTTAATTCGATTTCTCATTTTCATTCACCTCTGCTGTTCCTGGTATTATAAATTCATAGATTTATAGACGTTAGGGCTGGAAGAGACTTCAGAAGATCATCAAGTCCAACCCCCTGCCCCAGGGGCAGGAAATCAGCAGGGATCATAAGATCCCAGAAAGATAAATATCCAAATGTCTCTTGAAGGCGTTCAAGGTAGGCGCTTGAACCACCTCTGGCGGCAGTCTATTCCAAACCTTGGGAGCTCAGACTGTACAGAAGTTCTTCCTTATGTCCAGCCTGAAACAGTCACGGAGGAGTTTGTGACCATTTGACCTTGTCATCCCTTGGGGCGCTCTAGTGAACAGATGTTCCCTCAGATCCTGGTGAGCACCCCTGATAAACTTATAGGTGGCCACCAGATCGCCCCTGAGCCTGCGCTTTTCTAGGCTGAAGAGTCCCATGGCTCTCAGCCTCTCATCATAAGGTCTGTTTTCGTGACCTCTGATCATTCGCGTGGCTCTCCTCTGCACTCTCTCAAGCAAAGGTATTAGGTATTAGGAGGGATAGAAACAGAAACATCTTGGTACTTCTTACAGAACTGCTGTTGTAGTAGTGTATTTCCAGTCTGATTCTAAGCATGGAGTGGCAGAAGTCTCGCAGGAGATTTCTAGCCCAAGCCTTTACCCTGCAAGTGGTTATAGTCATGAAGATTCCTGCTTCTACTCAGAGCCCTGTTGGCTTCTATGGGACTGTGTACTGACACAGTGGCTCGTAGTAGCACTTCTGTGCACACAATCAGAGCTCTATTTGGCAGAAATGGGACTCTGAATAAACATTTCAATAAGCTAGATGGTTGTCTTGATCCTAATTCCTAAATATGCAAAGGTCAGTAATTATACCAATCAATTATTCTCAAATCTGGGGAGGATTTAGCAAAAAATCATACATATTTGGGATTCATTTTGGGATAGTTTTGAAACAGTGCTCGATTCTGATTAAGTTTCATTGGGTACATGTGCATACGCAACTAGTTCAACATGATAAACTCTGGAGCTGTTTGAGTCAGAGTCAGCTGCTCCCAGGTGCAGCACTTACATGTGAGCCTGGACAGCAGCAATTTGAGCCCGGGTGGAGCAACCTGGACTGGCAGGGGGCACAGGGGTTCAACTGCAGGCTCCACATGGTGACATCGGGAGGTGGAAGGGCTGGCTGGGGCATTAATGTGCTGAAAGTGCAGAACTGTGTGGCTAGGCGGCAGGCAGCTCCTGCACTTTAGCACTTTCATGCCTCAACCAGCTCCTGTCACTGTCTACACATGCATTTAATCACACGTAATGACTGCCATAAGATAATACTGTCCCTGCCAGAACTATCTTGTGGTGGAGTTAATTAATTGACTGCACCCTAATACCAGTGCATGTGTAGACTGTAATGCTTTACTGCAGAGCTAGTTAGATTTGCAGTAAACCACGTGTAGATGAATCCACCATTATTAAACAGGTTGTTGAGAGAGAATCAGATTAAATTATAGAACTGAGTCTCCTCTTATTTACTCTAGTGTAAAACAAGGAAAATCTCAGTTGCTGACATTGGAGGTAAGGTGATGGAAGGGAGAAAAGAAACAGGCCATGTATACATACAAATTAAATTAAGTTTATATATATATAAACTTTATAAAACTTAATTTATTTAAACCATCTATTGAGTTTCCTTCTAAAATGGTAATAATTTGTATTTTGCCTATTGTGGATATTAAAAGCAGTTTAGGAAGTTTCACTGTTGGGATCTAATGAGTCTTTTGGTCTTTGCACAACAAGCATAATATTAAAGAACTACATGGGCATAGAGGGGACCCAGTAACTACTTTTAACAGTTAAATGCAGCTTGGCTCCTTGACTGGGCCTAGTTACTGTGTACACTGCAGCTCTGGTAGCATTAGAAACAGAACACAATGAATGTCAGTAGAGGGATGCTACATAGTGAGAGTCTGCTCAGTCTCTATACATGGCAGGGTCATTCAGCAGCCCAACATTTGGATGATTATGCTGAAAAAACTGCAAAGGGAATGTTAAAATATAAAAATATACATTTTCCATTGGAATTATCCTCAATATTCATGACCACACTTATATTAATATAATATATGATATTTACTTGTATTTCATGCATGCCTTTTCCCCAGAAATTAGGCCTCCCAAATTAGAGTGCATGTCTTAACTGGGGAAGCTGATTTTCTGTCTGGAATAGAAGCACTCTGCTTTGATTCCTGCTCCTGCATTGATTCCTGGTCAAGGCAGCAGTGGTATTTCTACTTAGGCAACTGAGGGACCCAGCTGACTTAATGGCTTGATGTTCTTCCCTTCACAGGTGTTAACAATCATCTCTCCTTTTTAATGTTTTAATATGCCACTAATCAAGCTAACCTTTCTTCTAGCAGTTACGCTGTCTATTAGCAACTCCTAGTCTTTCTTCTCCTATTTCACAGCCTTGCAGGATATTTTTAGCTCTTTTCAAAATTGTAGGTTCACCCATGGAGACCAGTCTTCAGTAGCAGCTAGAAGTTCACCTTTTGGTTAAGCAGGAATGGGAGGGAGGGTGTGCTGAAGAGCAGGCTCTATCCCTGCTCTATGTAGCCGTAACTTTTTTTCTTCATTCTGTCTTCCCAAAAACATGCTTGCCTTATCTGGAGGCATGTGATATGCAATAGCATATGCTATATAGTAATATACAATATGTAAGGCAAGTTTCTATAAGTAACATTATATGCATATATAACATTTTTATCAAAACCCAAATTTTGGGACTAAACCTTGGCAATGTCCCTTTAAATGGGATCCAAGCAGTCTGGAAAATACTGAGGTCTAGGTGTGATAATAGCAATAGTATTTTATTGCTTGTGCAGACTCTTAATTTAAATGTCTAAGTAACACCATGAGCTGAAGATAAATGCAGAGCACTATATACATATTGACTTAGCCCTTCTTTGTTAACCCAGATTCTTTGCAACATAAGTGCTAGTGACAGAAACACTGACTTGTCACTCCAAGGGCCATTCCACTCCACTTGCCCCCATGGGTTTCTTATTCTTATGAGTTCCACCTTCCGGCCCCGGTAGCTCACCTAGAAAAAAAGGAAATATTGAATGGCCTGAAACTACAATGAGCCTACGGATAGTGCAACAAACCTTGGCTGCTGACTGTCATTAATCAATTTTCTCCAGTTTACAGGCTGTGTCATTCAGCTGGGCACTAGGGAACTGTACCAGGGAAAGTGTATGGGAGGGCAAAATGGGGAGAAGGGAATGGAAGTATTTTCCCACCATGGAACAAAGCTGCTTAGCAGTTAGGGCTAAGTTAGGATGCTAATTAAGGATCCCCACTCCACAAGGGAGACAAGCCAAAGGATACATATAGCAGGATCCTGGCCTCCCACCACCCCGTGCCCCTTTTGGCACAAGAAGCTCGATGGTTGTACAGGGATGCACTCTGTGCCAAAATCCCGTCCCCTCCTTGTGTTGTGTGGCCACACCAATTCTGCAGCCAAATGGCATACATGTGACACACAGAGGGCAGTCTGTCACAGTGGTTCCTGACTTTTCTTCAGGTGACCTCATTCCTGAGCTTGTGACCCTACTTCTGGTTATAAGTCTCACTTCTGCAACTGAATGTCTAATAGGCTCATGACTCCAAGACCTACCCCACCCAGCTCAGGAACCACTGATTTATGACTTACTACTCTTAAGCTGTGGGTTTCCACCATTTGTCTTACATGAGATTTGCCTTTATTCATTTCCATCCCATATTCCACCATACACAGTTGATGCAGAACAATTGGGACATACCTCATCGATGCCAGTTACTGAATATGCATGACCTTTTATAAGGCCGAAAGGGGTTCGAGCTTCTGACTCAGCAATGCTGCTAGTCTGAAATATGAAAACAAACTTAAGTGCCTTTCCTTGAAATGTAGTTGTAATGGATTGCCAATTTTAGCTGTTGCCATGCCCAGAGGCCCTGATAAGTCAGTAGCTATACTAGCAGGTATTGCAAATGATTACATATGACATTGTCTTATAGGGAAGTCCTTTCCTCCACAAGAAAGTTTCATTCTAATTCTTTTTCTAAGGATTGGAACTAGAACTAGATGATATTCTTGGGGCAAAAAAGTTAGTCACAAAAACTATGAGGTTTTGGTTGTTGCCCAAGTATTTGTAAATTTACCCCCAGGTGTATTGAAAAGCTATGGGTGGAAAAAAAATGAAGTGTGGAAGAGACAACTTCTTCCCCATCTTTCTTAATAGTTGAACAGTTAGTGGACTCATGCAGGATATGAGAGACTCAGGTTCAGTTCCCTTCTTTGCCTGAGTGGATTTGAATCTAAATTTTCTGAGGAAGCATCCTAGCCAACTTTTGGTTGGGGTGCTCTCAGTTTCTGATTGACACTGTTCTACTTTGTCCATTTACCCTTAAACATTTACTGGATAAGGGACTGGAGCCCAGGTGAATGGCCTAACTGCCATGAAAAGGAATCATTCTGTCTCCCAGGCTCAAGTCAAACACTTCTCATGGGAGAGATGGTGAAAGCCCCTTCCCAGGATCAACTCTATTCCAGTAATTAAGGTCTCTCTTGAAACCTGGGAGACCCTGCCTCAAATTTCTGCTTTGAATGAGAGAGAGAATGGTTTAAGTCTCCCATATCCAGGTGAATGGCTTAATGACTGAATTACTGGATAGAAAGGGAACCCCCACGTACTCCTCTCCCTTCTCGGACTTAGTGAATTTAGTTCTTCACTCCCTTTACTTTTTTTATGGGTGCCTGAAAGCAAAAGCAAAAACATCATGGGCAATGAACCATTTCCTTTGCTCCCAAACCACCATTTTTCAGCTTTTGTATTTTGTTAAGAAACCTGCAAAACAGTTTTGTCAAGTTAATCCAAATCACTTTGTTTTTGATTTTCAGTCTGGTTGTTAAACCAATAAAATCAACTCATTGCATAGCCCTCAGTAAAATCATCCCAGAACTTTCCCTTTGGACACACTGGGGACTGACTGAGACTTCTGAGAGAACCATCTTCTCCCATCCCTAGAAATGTGTTCACTTGGCAGAGATCTGACACATCAGCAGAGCATTGCCTTACACAGCTGCTGCCCATACACTCCAGTGGAGCACTACAGGCTTCAGAGTTGTAAATCTGGTATCTTTCATGAGCAGGAAAATTCATTTATGAACTAACTTGCAAAGCCTCCTAAGCCCCCAGAGGGGTCACTAGAGGGTTGCAGCCTAAAATACCTTAGTAGTGATCACTGAGGTCAGTAGTTACTGGCCCCCTTCCATGTGACAGGGCTGTGAATAGCTTTAACCCAAACCCAGGTCAGGAGAATGGGGCAGGAAATACAGGTCACACACAAACAAACTGGACATCTCAAGTTGATGTTTGATGACTTTCTTCCTCTGATCAGCTGGTCTAACGACCAAAAGGGTTTTACCCATATATTAGATTACAGCTACTCTTTATAAAGTTGTGCCCTATTTATTTGCCATCCATTTCATCTGTGTTTCTTTAAAAACATTTTTACTTTGAAACAAAAATCACACGTACATAAAATGAAACTAAGCTCAGACCGACTCCAGCTTCTTACTTACATCAATGGAGCAGCCCACCATAGAGCCTTTCTTAAGTGCTTTCTCCAAAATGTCATGGAAATTGTCAGGGGCTTTTCTAACTTCATACATTTCTCCAACTCCTCCAGTGAAATCTTCCATGGCTTCTATTGCACTGCCTCCTTTCAGGGCTTCATAACTGCCATTCAGTCTGAAAAAATACACCTTAACTGTGAAACATGTTTTTAAACACTTTTTCATGATGTGCTGAGCCTATCTTCTGACTCATGTGGGCATAAATCAGCTGTAACACAAGTTAAATCAGTGCAGTTGTTAATACTGGGGTCATTCGCCTCTTCCTCTAGACATTCTCGAACCACTGGTTCATTACTGGTTCAGATCTGGACCAGGTTAGCAGGGACTATGATGTCTTGACCCTATCATTGTTGATCAGTGGTCTGCTGAATACCAAGCCAAATGCTAGTCACATTCCAGGTTTTATCCGTAGCAGTAGGTATTATTAGCATTCCCAGCAGAGGAACAAAGAGCATGTTTTAGGACTCCATCCAGCTCCCACTGTGGCCAATTGGAGTCTTTCCATTAATTTACTGGAAGCTGGAGATTAATTTCATACCTTCAGGTCAGAGCTAAGGCAAAAGGAAAAAACAAACAGAAGGGGGTATTTGAAAAGTGAGAACAGTGCCTGTACCACGTGACTCCCAGCACTTACTTGGCATAGGCCTTCTCCAGTAAAGCACTCCAAAATTCATTGTGTTCGGCTGAGTGCAGGAAAACCAAGCGGCCCTTGAAAGTTGGTAATCGATCATCAATAACGATATCCAGCCACTCACTGTGTTGCCAAAACTGTTTAGAAGGGACAGAGAGAGGATCATTGAATAATTTATAGTATTTGATAGGGCTAATGACGCTCTCTAGTTATTCCTCTAACATGATTCTGATCTATCTCAGAAACTTTTAGGGGTGATTAACTAGATATGTCTATACTGCTTCTTCAGCACCTTCTTAAGGAAAGGGAGGCCTGGTGGAGGGCATCATCTACAGAGGGCAAGGGAAACAATGTAGGCATAGCCTCTGTTATAGGACTATAAACATGGCACTCTGTGAGCCAAATTAAATTCAACAAAAATAAGCAGCAAGTTTCTCTTCTCTCCCAAAACACCTTCAACTTCTCTTCTCAATAAAGTAAAAAGTAGGATTTTTTTTTTACTAAACATGACACATAGACACCTGAACTGATACAAAGTGACCTACCTTGAACTGCACTGCTTTTCTGGTAATGATACCTCGCTACTTCATTTAAACTGTAGTGTTATAAACAGTAGTAAATTATTTAAACAGCGCTGAATTGAAATGAGAGGAAAGTAGAGTAAATAGGAGGAGGGAGAGACCAGGGTGGCAGCCCCAGAAGCCACTTTGAGGGGAGTGGAGGATACAAAAAGAGCTCCAACCTCAGCAACAGCTGATTGCACTGCCCTGATCAACACCTCAGCAGTCAGTACTGCATTGGTCATGATGTGGCTGCTTTGGGTGTGGAGCTGCCTGGTTACATCTCTGACCGTGCATATTATGAATCGAGGGCACCAGAATATGGAATAAGTAACAAGCCAAATTCATGGCAGAGAGGAATTTTCTGTCCACCGTAATTTATCTCTGTATGAACAAATCCTATAGAATTCTACAGGGTTTAATGGAAAGTTATTCAGCTTCCCTAAATTATTCTGAAAAGCTACAATATTAAGTATAGAACAGTATTCTTTATATGGAATTTCTAACCTACACAATTCTGTAGCAGAGATTTATTGTATTCTATTTGTGCTCTAACACCATGCTTAGAACTGTGGTATTTGAGCACTGAGTATTTATTTAAGTCTGTATGCTTGTTTAACTATTTTATACAAATTACCACTTTAATTCTATTACACTGTATTGGACGATTCAGAAGGGATTGGAATCTGAACTAATCAGATACCCTGAGAGAGTTGTGTCTGTATTTCTTGATGTGAATTAGATATAGAGCATCATGTGGCTCAAGCCATTTTAAACATACACACATAGCCTGTTGAGTCAAACGATTCTCTTGGTTACACCTACGCATCCCTTCTGATTTCCTGCTAGTGGAGCTGAATATATGTAATTGAGAGTTGAATCTGACTGTGAATATTCAAATCTTCCTAGGATAATGCCTTGATTTCTACCACTGTGTTTCACTTTAAAATAGGGAACCAGGTGTGACTGCATGACTCTAACATTTTTCCTGGTTTTCTTATCCAGAGAGTACAGTACATTTAGGAAGGACTGTTTAGAACATCTCAGTCACTCTCCTCAACTGTAAATTGAAAACCCGACTCCAAAACAGACTGGGACATTTAGCTTTCCAGGCCCTTGACGGGTTTGAATTTTGTGTTGTGTGTTTATCTTACCTGAAAGTGAAATATTCCAGCATAACCAGGTCCAAAATTTTGATCCTGAGGTACAACTCTGGCTAAGGTTTTGTCATTCAGAGTAAGTGAAGCTATGGCTGCTAATAGCCAGCAGTCACCTGGAAAATGAAAAGAGCAAAGCATAGATCATCCATAACATGTTGGGAAAATGCACAAAATATATAGGGCAGACATTCTGTAGCAGTCTTGTCATAGCCTCCATGAGTCTGTTTTCTGTTAAACTATTATGCTTGAAGTCAATGGAGTTTTTCTAGATGTATAAAATTGTAATTGAGATCAGAGTATTGCCTTTTTTACATTATGTGATCCGTATTTCATAAAGTATGCATTAAGAATTAACATGCGTTGATTCAAGTTGATTTCATTAGCTTGTGATTTTCATATTTCCCATGGCATGTAAACTTCTCCAGAACCAATTAGGAACACAACTGTCAGCTGTCTCTCTCAATGGGCTAAGTTTTGCTTTTTTTATTACATCAGTGTAAAGCATGACTAGTTCTACTCAAGTTATTTGGATTTACAATGATTTTAATGGGCTTTGGCCCATTATTCTAAAAGTTCACAAAAAGAAAGGTACTGAAGCTTCATTTGCTGATTCTGTTGGTTTCACATGAGACACTTGATAAGAGTCACAGCTATGTTTAGCAGTATACTGGCTGGTTGTCTATCAATTAGGGGTGCATCAATAACCTACTTAACTTAAAAACTCAAGGAGAGGATGGGTTGTCTGGTACTAGCCAGGCAAGATGCAATGCAGAACCACTCCATTTGCTGTTCTCTAGGAAGTTTTATAGAAGCTGAGCAAACTCTCAACCTCAGAAAATCCAGTGCAAAATTTCCCTTCACTTTAGCAGGACCAAAATTTGAGAACGTCCTGTGAATTCCTTTTCCTCAGAAAAAAATCAAGACCTTGGCTTTGTGGTAGTGATTCAGGAAAGGGAAATGGCAGTTCTCAAGAATGAATCAACCACATTTTCCCAGTCAAAAAGCCTGACACAGCTTCTGTGTTGTTTGCACTGAGTGAACAGAGCAGTGAGTGCCTCTTACTTAAGTAAGTGAGTGTCCCTTACAAGACAGCCACTACACTGTATAATTCCTGTAAGCTATTTTATCAGAGACTGATGGGATGCCACATGCACATGACCTCCAGAATTCCTCTGATGGAAAGTCTTACACAATCTGAACAGAATTATACAAATAGCTTTCCATGGAAATGTAACAAGGCTGCACAGAAATTACTCTAAAGCCCTACAGAATACAATAGAAAATTATCTTTCTTAGGGTTTTTAGGTCCATCCTATAGTGCTGTACAAGGACATACCACTTTTTACTTCTGTACAATTATAGTTGAGGTCCTTTTGAACTATAATTCCATTCAATTCCAGGCACCCACTGTGTGGAACAAGGCAATTTAGAAGATAACAGCATTATGGAAGTTAGTCCTATAAATACCATGTGCCTGTGCAAATAACCTTTGTCTTCTTTAAGACATCCTCTTTCTACCATAGTAACCGCTTTCCAGAGACTTTGTCCTCTTCTACTACAGTCTGTAAGCATGTGGTCCTCCAAGACAGTGTAGCTGTGTTGTGACAGTGTAGCATGTCGTATTAGCATGCTAATCAATACATCAAAACACATGTTGGGAGCTGTAAGCGGGTTTCTGCACCAGTTGCCTTGCAGGCTGGCTTTGCTCCCCTTGGGAACTCCTTAGCCAATCCTCTAAATACAAACAGTCCTTGGACCAACAAGCAACCAACAAACAAACCTTTCAATCCCTTCTCCAGGTGGTAAGAGGGTCCCTTAGTTTAGCTCTTTAGCATGGCCCTTTCTGGTAGTGAGCTTATCGTGGGTCTATTTTGCCTCTTGCCTACAAAGTGATGCATTCCCTAGCTCACTACTCTCTGCTCTCGCTCCTCTGGGTTTTTAACTGCTGGTGGGATATTCCCTCACCAGCTAACTGCTCATAGCTGGGCTTCCACAATAGGGCTAGCTGCTTCCTCTTAAAGGGCCAGATCTCCCTGTTACAGGACGCAAATACCACGTATGTCTGGGTAACCCACTGACATGCCCCATATTGTCAAGAGAGAGAATAAATGTAGCCAAGAATCCAAATTCCTGCAGAATACTATGTGCTTACAGGACACAGAGCAGATCTGACCTGAGGAACCTACGGATCCCATACATTTCCAAAGGGGCAGCAACAGGGTGTTCTCACTTTGCCCTACCCAGAAGTTCCAAAACTTAATCATGTGATGACCTTGCTTAATATGGATGATTTCCCTTGAGCCTATACATACACTGTTCATGTGCCCTGCCCCATGTTTATTGCAGGACTTAACTCACCCCAGTTCCTCCATGTTTTTCTGCCTGCTCTTACCCCACAGTGGCCACAGCTACATGAGATGCTGACTGTGCAGTAGCTTGTTACTAGCGTGCAGTAGCACTGCGTGGCATGAAGTGTGACGTGATGCTATTGAGCAGTGGTAATGAGCTACTGCGCAGTCAGCATCGCCTAAAAGCCATTCAGCGATGCAGTCATTTAGTACTCATGTATGTAAGTACTAAATGACTGTGCTGTAACAACTGCACAGTCATTGTCTCGTGTAAACACGGCCAATGAGAATTGAAATAGGATGGTTAACCCATGAATGAAACAGGGTTAAATTGACCTGTTTTAGTTTTCGCTTACACTGGGGTAATTGGAGAGAGAGAGACAGCTGATGTTGAGGTGCAAAAGTGTGCTAAACCCCACTCCCTGTTACTTGCAATGTAATTAGGAGACAATGAGGGGCTCCTGCTATTAAATGCAACCTTATTCGGAGTTGTACACCCTAATTTGAAAACCTTATCTTAGCCTATTCAAGTTCCTTTTAATTTGAAGGAAAGAATGTGATACCTTTATCCAGGCAACCAGAAATGGGTCTGAAGTTAGAATGAGAGCATGTGTATTACTTCTAGTTTCACTGGTTCCACTAACTCAGGAAAAAAGGGGCAAACCACAGAGCTGTAAAAGGGCAGCTTTGCGCTCTAGGCAGCAGTGGCACCCAGTGCAGTGCTGCCTGCTGTGCTGCTGGTAGCTATTCTTGAGCCTCCTCCCTACCTCCAAAGGCAATAATTGAGGCTGCTGCTTGAGTGGCAGCCCTCAGATATGTTATTGCACAAGTCCTAGTCCTCCCCCCCACAGACTAGGATGTTTTGGCATCACAGATCTTAGCATAGGGGTGAAAGATAAACACTCACCAAGATCCCCTTGACAAATGTCAGTTCTTGTAGCTCCTCCAGTTATAAACTGTGGGTCATTAACAATGTCCTGGGAGAGTAAAAGAATGAGTGAAATAATTTAACAGATGCCTACAAAAACATTGCAACATTTAGGTACTGGACCTGTCATGCAGTATGTAAAGTACATCACCGTATACCTTGGGAACCCGGCAACCACAGGAGAGTACAGCTACTATGAAGTGCTATATTGAACCATTAGAGTGTATCAGCAGCGATAGGATCATTTGTCTTAATTTTTCCAATTACTTGGTATTTATCAAAGGTATTTGGCTGGCAGTCTTGATGGATGAAATTCTTTCCTTACCTGCGGAGCATGCCTATCACAGACAGTGGCCAGCAGCCATGAACACATCTCCTCTGGAAAAAAACAAAAGGCTGATCCCAACCTTTGTTTGTTTTACTGAGCAATGTTAGTTTTAACTGGGAGTTGCAGCAGGTATGCTACTCCACACCCTTGTGGGCTCAAAGGTTGAGAAGCACTGAGAATACATGGTCATTGTAGAATGAAGACAGTTTGGACAAGTATTTCTCAGACTGTTTTATATTCAATTGACATATTGCAGATGTTCTTTGCTGATATTTGTCTATGGAACTTGTCTCTTGCTGAATGGAATTATGATGGACATCTACTGGCTCATTGTTCTTGAAACCTTCTGGGTAGAAATGTTAGGTATTTATATGACCACTCAGAATATCAGAGTGCACCATAATCTTGGAGGTATTTATCCTGCTGCAGGGAAGTGCAAGTACCTCCATTTTTCAGGTGGGGAAATTGAGGCACAAAAGGACTTGCCCAAGATCAAGCAGTGAGTTTCTGGTGGAACCTGGATTTGAATCTGTATTTCCAGACCCCCAGGCTAGTTATCTAATCATTGGACCACTCTTCTTCACTTACCAAGTCTTTGGCACACCTAAGACATAGCTCTGCAGTTTCAGCTTTGCACTAGAAGATAGGTAGCCCTGTATCCTGGTCCTTGCTCCTACCAGAAATGAAGACAAATGCAAGTAGAACCAGCCAGTGTTTGTTCAGGACCACCAGAAGCAATTGCCACAACAAGATCTGTCTGTAACTGGCTTTCTCAAAGGCTATGTAGAAGCTGTTAAAATCAAATGTAACAGAGAGAAGGCCTATTTCAAAGCTCATTGAAACTAAAGAAAAGATTATAATGAGTAAGTCCATTCAACACAAGGCCAGAAACAAGAAGCGGGACACTTGCATTAGCATGGCATAGTGCCTAGCCTAATTAGCTCTGCAAAGAAGAGAGAAGCAGAGCATATTAGCCTGGGCATAGGAGGAATATACACTAATGCAGCTATCCTGCTTCCAGTCCAAGAACTATCTTAGAATATCTCTGTGCAGTGCTGCCTTGTGCCATAATTACGTGCCCTCATTGACTCCCGTGGGCTTCAGATAAAGAAATAAATCCAAGAAATTATTCCCTCATAGACTTCATGATCCATCCCTGCTTTCGTTTTAATTCAGAAAGTCATCCTGTCTTGCATGATTACACAGGAGGTGCTTCATGTAATCAGGAGGACACCTTGTCGGTACCATCTTGATATAGCCAAGGCTTCAGGCAAGGCATCAGTCAAGGCGTCGGTCAAGATATGCAACCCTATAGAAATCACAACACACAAACCTAGATAGGCTGTCATTATTGCTGACAAATAAATAAATAAGGGGTCTGTTTTCTCCTGCATTTGGGTAACTTGCTATGCCAGAAAAGTCTAACTGAATTTAAGTTAATTGAATTGAAATGAATTGAATAAACTGGGAAAGGCTGCCTGCTCCTTCTCTGCTATATTGAAGGGATGCACATGCATTTAATCAGTCAGCCCTTAAATCCCATTGCAGAGCTGGTTGTATAATTTGGTCCAAACTAATCCAGTTAAGACTCAGGGAAAGAAACCTCTCACCAGTGTATTTGCCAAAGGCAGAAATTAAACAGGGGTAAAATAATAGAAGATTCAGTTTCAAGATCTCAATCACTTCAGTTGTGTGGATAGAAAATGGGTGGCTTTTGATGTATTTATTTTATTTAAAGACAATAAGAATATTGTACTCTCAGAGAGCTTCTAATTCCTTTTCTAGCTAAACAAAGTGGGTTGAAGTCCAATTTGGACAATGGGACCTGGCAATATTGAAAAGCAAGCTAAACAGCCTGAAGGTTTTGAGTGTCAGAATATGCTGCAAAGAGATTGTTCTGCCAGCTTTTCTGCATGTGTTAGGCTTAACATGTGTAAGAAGGTGGAATGTATATTATCTGGGTGGAGAAGTTATTTTAATATGTTGAGGTAAGAAAAGTGACCAAATTGTTGAATTTGCACGTCATTATGTACATTCAGAGACATCCCTAGAGGGGCATCCCCAGAAGCCGGCAGCAGTGTCGGCGGCAGTGGGGGTGGGGGGGACACACATGGGAGGATAGCGACTGCCCACAGAAGCCAGCGGTAGCAGTGGAAGGGGAGCAGCGACCACCCACAGAAGCTGCTGGCACTGGCAGGGCCACAGTGGGGCCTGTACACCACTGTCCGTGGGGCCCAGGGTGGTTGCCTCAATTGGCCCCCTCCCCAGGGATGGCCCTGTGTACATTTTTTTGTGACAAGCAACCAGGACCTGAGAAAGGACCTTTTTCAAACAAAAATAATCCATACATTAACAGTACTACATAAAAAAAAACATATCCCTTAAATGAAGGCTCTAAAATAATTTAAAGCGATAGCAACATGTTCTCAGGACTGGCAGATGACAAAACAAGGAGCAGTGGTCTCAAGTTGCAGCCAGGGAAGTTTAGGTTAGATATTAGGAAAACCTTTTTCACAAAGAGTAAAGCACAGAAACAGGCTACCCAGAGCGGCTGTAGGATCTCCATCCTTAGAGGGTTTTAAGACCCAGGTAGACAAGACCTTGGTTGGGTGATCTATTTGGGGATAGTCCAGCTTTGAGCAGGGGGTTGGACTAGATGACCTCCTTAGTTCCCTTCCTACCCTAATTTCCTATGATTTTATGTAAAAACTGACTCCAGACAGGATAAAGAATGAGCAAGCTCCACTGAGCTGGTAAAATAAATGTCAATAGAGTTTTTTTTGTTTTCTCATGCCTATTAAATTAGCTTAATAATAGTCCTCCTATTTTAATAGACTGGGTATTTGACAAAGCTGGTAACTAGCTCATAAAAAACCTTATAACTTGCCAATTGTTCCAACTCTTTAGTCTAATAAATAAAAGATATCACATCTACCCAAATAACCTTGTCTGCTTATAACCTGCCAAGCCCTTCATTTTCCTGTCCACAGGAACACTTTTGCCATACCCAGAGCTCCCCCCTGAGTGATTGCCATGATCTGAAGTTAACTCCTTTGGTGCTAGTCCTTGCTGCGGATGAGTTGAATTGCTAATATCCCACTAGGAGTTGGATCAATTGAAGAGCATATAGTGGATCAGGGAAATGAATAACACTGGGGCTACATTTATAACTTAGCAGTGGGTGTGCTATAAAGTCCCCCTTGGGCCTAAACAGAATACAGGTCATTATACTTATCAGCCAGCAATCCTCATACTGCTTGTAGCTCTGGTTATCCTTGGTTCAACCCTGGCACATTGGCCTTGGGGGTCGACTGCACACATTTTGTTGAATGTTTCAGATCCAGGTGGACAGCAAAGTGGTTGAAAAAGGTGACAAACTCTCAAAGTTAAAACTGTTTGTCCTGTCCCTCGAGGATGCTTCGTTCCCCTCTTATAACACCCTAGAGCCAAATCTCTGTACTTTCCTTTCCCCTTTTACGTTTCTCTGGTGGCATAAAGAGGGTGAAAATGACCCTAAAATAACCTTACATTAAGATTTTCCTTGGGTAGAATAAGGCCACAGAAATGTCACTTTGCCAGACCCTCTTCACAGCACCCATGATAAAGAATGTGCTGATTTTTTAGGGAAAAGGATGTGGTCCTAGCGCTTTGTTGCAGCTGTAATTGTTCAAGGAGCAGCCTCAAAAGACTTGTTATCTGCTAAGTACAGGTTACAGCAACCACAAGGCTGCTCAGATGTATGCAGGAAGGACAAGCTGGAAATACAGTGAAGTTCAAAGTTGGTTTAAAGTCACCTTCCAGCCCATTCTTTGCCCGCCCTGAGCAGAATGCCCATTTGCTTTATTGAAAACTGAGTATTCCCAGCACCTCCCAGTGTGCATTCAGCAGTGAACTGCAGCACTGTAATTGAAAGGCACAGTCCTACTCCTGTTGAAGTAAATAAATATGAGCAGGTCAAAAGAGCATACCCTTACTCAGGGCAGAAGAGAAGAAGTGCCCACTGACCAATAAAGTGATTATGCCAACCTGAAATTTGCACATTAATTCTGTATAGCTGAAGCTTCTGTAGGTAGCAAAGAGGATGACCTATTTTTAGCATGTTTTCTGGTTTCAAAGGAAGTGATCAAGATGTGGTGATCTGGGCACATTCCTTCACGCTAAGTCCCTTTGTGGGAGGCAGCATTAAAAGAGGGAGTTTGGTGTGTCGGAGGTAGAGTAAGCAAAGGTAAGTCAAAGTGGACCTTATTGTTACCTGAACCACCTGTTTGTTAAATACACTTTGCTGCATATGGGCTATAAGTAAATGATAACAGAAGCAATTCATTGCCCTTAAAAATATAAGATTGTAGTACAAAACTATAGGGATTTCGATAACATGAGTGCTGCTTATAGAGAACCTATGTTTTACAGCAAGTGCAGTGTACGGCAGTTACCAGGAAAACAAATCCAACACATCACTTAGCCAGTGCTCAGATACTCAAAAAGTGTGTGACCTTGGCTCAATAACTTTCACTCCCTAAGGATCAGCTGTGCAGAGTTCCCATCATATTTTGCGTGCACACCCTGGGGGAGGACATCTTCCCAGCTCTGAGGGACGGCACAGTTGTGGTCATTTGCAAGTTTTACAAATTATACTCCATATTCTATTTTTAAATAATACAGTTCCACCTGACTTGACAGCTCCGGTTATTAGCTTCACAGCGAGGTCATTAGTTTGATTCTGGGCTGGAACATTAATAACTGACATTATTGACAGTTGATTGATTGGTGGACTCTAAAGCGGATTAGTGGTCTGAATCCATCTCTGAGAGCATGGTCTATGCATCTTGACGAGCACCATTGTGGCCAGTTTCATTAGGGCCCAAGAGCCCATTTCTCTTTTCACTTACAACAAAGCAGTGTCCATGACTGTCAGCGGTGCTGGTATAAACTCAGCAAAGAATCAGGCCCCAAGGACTGCATTGACAACAAAGGATGTATTACAGGCCCACCCAAGTTAGGGAGGATAAAGAGTACTATGCTGCTACTTTAGCCTTTTATAAAACAGGAGACTTCAGTTTCCAGGACTATCAATCCAACACACCATGGGCACTGCATGGCAAGACTCCTCCACCACCTTGATTCTGCATGGTGCCATTCAAACTTTGGGAGCTTGACTTTGCAAATGCTCATATTTGGATTAGAAGCAGTACTACCCATATCATAGTATTACATCCATCACCATTTTATACACAGAAGCATCTGGGAGCATCTAAGAGTGCCTTGATCACAGCCAGTTTTAAGGTAGGTGGAAGGTGTAAGTGAGCAACATATTGCAGTGGTTCAGAGTACCAGCTTCATTCAAAAACAGACATGGGCATTTGCAGAAGGGCTCAGGACAATCTCTCAAAAGTGGTATTGTTTGAAAAGGGGATAACTACCAGGGCAGCCAAAAACCCACTGATGTGACAGCTCCCAGAGATTTCCATCAGCAAAGTGCTGCAGAGTCCTAGGGAGAGTTAAATGTATCCAACTGTCAGAGACCTGAAAAATGGAAGGGAAGATGCCATATGCCTTGTCAGTGGGGAATTCCTTTCTAGGGTGTAGTGATGTTAGATGACAGAGGATTGCGAACTTTATGCCTCTCCACATCAACATTGCTGAACTTGACTGTAAATCTGACTACCTGTTCAACAACTGCTGTGCAACAATCTATATACAAACCTAACTAGGAGCAGTTCATGACCTATAAAAGGAGAGAAAGTATGAGTTCACATCATAAAGCATACTTTTATTCTGTGGTACAATTCTGAGGGTGTATATGCTGGAAGTAAGGGATGGATTAGGTGCCTGAGGAGCAGAAGCAAAGTTTAAATTAATTGCTGGGGGTTCATGGTTCTCTCAACCCAGTAGCAGCTATAATATGGAAGAGATACCAGTGGACTAGGTATTGAGCCATTTTGTCTTTCTGCCTGGGCTTGAAAAATGCATTCTCTCAATCCAGGCTGTTGGTTTAATAGTGAATACCTGGTATGGAATTACACGTATTTATGGGCCTGATCCAGAGCCCAATGAGATTAATAGGAGTCTTTTGTTGACTTCAAATAATTTGCATTAAGCCTATAAGGCATTCATATTATGCAGGTCCTGGCCCTAGGTGAATTAGGCTGTTCAGTATTCAAAATCTGTTTAGTTTACATGGTTACATGGTTACAGAACTTGGGTATTTGCCTTCAGTTGTCTGCCTTCTGTAATAGAAAAAGGATTTGCCTTTTTAAAGCCTATCTTACATCTTGCAGTCTGTGGGAAGATTGCAAGACCACCCTTGCATTCTGTATAAATTTGGAATCAATGAAGTAGAGACTATCCCTGAAGAATCCCTTTTAGGTTTTTTACAATACCAGGTGCCTCCTGGGGTGGAACAGGGTGAGAATGTATAAGCCAATTTCTCTCTTAACATCAACATAACTGTAGTGTATTGTCACTGATTTCAGGGTAGCTAGTATTAATTTACATCAACATATGCAAAAAGAAAATCAGGCCCTAGAAATTCCCTGTAGATCTCTAGTCAAGCTGCATGCATTCAATAAAGCTGCAAATGTTTAGTGTATTAAGTAAAGGCAGCTAGAAATCTAGGTCATATTACAACCAGCTGAGGCTTTAGGTACGTAGTTTTCGACCTGTTTAGACTTAGGGCACCCCTCATTAGATTCGAGGAACTGCTCAAACCTGGCTGTCATTTTTTTTTTGACTACAGAAAAATAATAGAGCAACACTTCTGTTGCAAAATACTCAGAAAGACAGGTCAGAATGTTTTTAACACTACAGATTCCTATTTGAAATTTCTGGGTTTATCTTGTGAATCATATTTATATACATAGCAGTGCTAACACTGTGGCACCCCTTGACACCCTTGAAAGAATCTAAAAGCACCCCAGGGTACCACAGCACCCTGGTTTCATAGTTTCATAGTAGGTAGGGTCAGGAGGGACCTGAACAGATCATCTAGCCTGACCCCCTGGCCACAGGCAGGAATGAATGCTGGGTTCACAAGACCCCAGACAGGTGATTGTCCAACCTCCTCTTGAATATGACCAAGGTAGGGGTGAGGACCACTTCCTTGGGAAGTTGGTTCCAGATTTTGGCCACCCTAACTGTAAAATATTGCCTTCTGATCTCCAACCTAAACCTATTCTCCATCAGCTTATGACCATTGTTCCTTGTCACCCCAGGTGGTGCTGGGGAAAAAAAGAGCTCTGCCTATTTGCTGTTGAGAATCACTGCTATCTAGGTTTATACAAAAAACCATCAGTTCATTCACTTAGGTATCTTGAGGTACTGAATCTGTACTGAACTTGTTTTTTTATGCACTTTAAAGCCACAGATTCATGCTTCTTACTAATGGAATACAAACACAAGTGAATGACAGAACCATTCACTTTGGCAGAGTGGTGCCTTCGCTGACATGATTTCTATACAATATCCAATAATTACTACTCCTTCCCCATGAAAGTAAGTTCTGCAAACTGACTTGTTATGTAACTCTTGAGAGAAGGGAAACTATTTTAAATTTACCATAGGTGAAGCAAAAAGAAAAAAGACTAAAAAACATCCTAGAAGGTACAAAGTAACATTAAGATATTGGATTTCTCAGTGTGTGTTGCAAAACAAGAATATTGATGTGATAATACCTAACAATAGTGTCAGCACTGGACAGGGTGTGCCACTGCTACTTGTCCCCAGGGAAACACACGTTCCCACTCATGTGGACATAGCCTTAGAGACTAACTGGTTCAGAGATGCATAAGCTTTCAGAGGTGACAGCCTACATCATCAGATGGACTTGTCTACACAGGCAAGTGGATTAAAATAGCTCTTCTGGTGAATTCGCCTCTATAGACCAGACTAAATAGAGTCTATAGTCTATAGTCTCTATAGACTAAATTGACATATCCTCTGAGTCCTTGAGCATAGTCACTAGGTTGGGGAGAAATACAACCTAGGGAATGGCTTCGTCATGTTTCCAGGTTTGCTATGCTCAGACAGGAGAGGGTAAGCATGAAGGGAGAGAGTACCTCTCCCTACATGGGATGGGGACTTTCATGAGTTGGCATTTCACTGCTATATCTGACCTAGATTGAAGTCCCTTCAAATTCTACTTTTTATGATTCTAAGATTTTGTAATCCTCAGCTGGTGTAACTCTAGTACCTTCAGTGAGATCTATAAAGGCTTAAACCAAGTAATGGTCTGGCCCATGCTATGTACATAGGTATACCTGTATAACACACACACACACACACACACACACACACACACACACACTTACAAGGTTAATTTCTATAATAATTACTCAAGATAAAGCTATTTCTCTGTGCATGTGTGTAAGCTGGCATCATCTGGCAAGGAGGTCATTATTTCTTCCCAATTAAAAAAATTCAAGGACAATTTCAGAGATGGCATGAAACACAGTGTAAGATAAACACCAAGTAAAGCACCACGAACATAGACTCCTTCTTGACACTAAACTTCCTCTACTCCCACTAACTGATAGGCAATGAAAACCAAACAGAGGGTGTGGACATAAGAATGACTTACTGGAAAGTAAAAGGGAGCAGGGTTTCATTGCCTGTCAGCTGGTCCTCAGGAACTGCCCATGTACATTTTTATCCAGTGGTGAGTGGAAGCTACATTATGGTAACTTAGCTGTCTTCCACTGAGGAGTAACATACTTAAGGGTCAGAGGAAGATAGGGGGTAAGCTCCTTTCACTTATACCTTCTTATTCTTTCCTGTTAGTTGTTATGCTTGATGCACTCTTCTTCACATAAGCACATATTTTAATATGGCAGAAATCACTGCCTAAAGCCATGTCTCATGGCTGTTAGCACATACTAAACCTGCACTGTAGCATCTTTACTGCTTTTGTTGCCAGGGCTAGCCAGTGTGAGCTAGCACATTATTACTCTTACCCACTTTCCCCTTTACCATTCCTGCCAGGCACCAGTCCTGCCAGGAGCAATGTGAGTGTTTAAGCCTTGGAATAGTGCCAACAGAGTGAAGCCAACAATGTGATATGACTCTGGATAGAGGCTTCCTCAGTCCTTGCTTACATGGACAATATTGTCCTTACAAATATAAAAATTCTGGTCTGATTTCTCTCTTGCATACTAAGGTATAAATCAGGGGTGACACTATTGACTACAATGTAGTAAAGACAAGATCAGAACAAAACACATGAAGTATTCACATTAATTTTGCAGGGTGTGTGTGTGTGTGTGTGTGTGTGTGTGTATATATATATATATGTAAAATTAATGATAATATTCACCTATATGCTACCTAGTGGTCTATACACAAATCTCTCTCTCTATATATACTTGTTGAGAGTCTTTTTCTCATTCCAGATGACCAGATCCTGATTCATACTGAAAACTCTTTGGGGGCAGAGACTGTGTACGACAATACCTGGCTCCACTGCAGTCAACAGCAAGACTCCCGCTGTCTTGGGCAGAACCAGGATTCCCCCCCACATATTTCATCTGTGAAGCTCTGGTGCTCTCCCTCTCAGTTATCACATCTTTATGTTAGATTTGATTCTCTATTAAAGGCGTTCAGGTGTCTTGTCACAGGCCAAAGAGAGAAAAATAAATACATGGTGCCCAATAAGAGCAGTAACAGCCTCTGGACTGTGCCATACTCACCCCAGGCCTTTTCCACACAAAGGGGATAGATGGCCTCTCACTGAAGAAAAGAGAGGAGTCAGTGGCTGGGAAATCACAGTCCTCAAACAGGATTCCCTTCTGCTGGCACTCGCGCTTCAGCTCCTCATATGTCTTGCCAGAGGAGTGTGTGGCCCGCGCAGTCTGGGGCAGCTGGGGAGCCTGGGGTCTCGAGTCCTGGTACGTGTAAGGCATAGCTCTGCCCCTCCTGCAGCAGAGAAGGCTTCAGTGATCCCAGAGACCCAGGGGGGAAGGTAAGAAGAGACCAGGGAAAGATGAAGAGAGTGGAGAATTTCAGCACCCTCCAAAAACAGGAGGCAAAGAGGAATGAGGTGCTCACTGCAGAGAAGAAAGACAGGAGTGTGTGTGCTCCCAGGGAAGTAAAAATGGCCTGAGCCCCGCCCCTTTTGCACCTGTATGAATGGCAAGGAGACCTCCCTTTCTTCCTGAAATAACAATAGAAGGGAACGCCTCGAGAGCAAACAAAAAAGCAAACTTGTTTGACCTCAGATATTCCAGCTGCTCGGTGTGTTCCCTCAGGTATGTAACCCCGGGAGCCACGTTGAGGAGCAGAAAGATACCTTTCATTTCATTTCATTCATGTTGTGTAAGTTCTGCCTAAGAGGAGAGAAAGAATACCTGCACACCCCGCTCCATGGCACTGGACCAAGCCCTTCACAGTATGAGGGGGGCAGAGGCATTTTCTTTGCTGGTTGGATGAATTTGAGAAATGTCACCATGTGTGAAATCCTCTCGTGTCTCCTGGTCCAAAGCCACCAGATGTAAAAGCTGAGCCTTATTATGAGATATCACAAACCTGGAATCCTTTCATCATACCTTTTCCAGGCCAAAAGGGCATCAGAGATGACTGCTACAAAACAGCTGGCACTCTTGCTTATAAAAGGAGGAGGAAGACCTTCCTGCAAGAATGCTAGGTTAGATTACTAGGCTCCAGAGCCTTTTTACTGAGCAAGTATAGCAGGGTCCTCCCTCCTGCCATCTACTTCCACGGGGAAGACCCAGCATGAAACCTGACCACAGGCCTGGAAACCTCTCATGAAAAGTAGATGCAAAGTTAAGTTGAAGGAAACTGGATCATTAGCAGGTATGGAATATTCCCAGGAGGACTAGCCTGGTGTATCAAGTGGAGTGGAGACAGCATGGTTAGATGGTGAAGGGTCTATGGTGTGGGAGACTGTGGCGTGGGAAGGCCATGCATTAGACAGAGACAGAATATTTGGTGTGGGTGAGGGGTGCCTTTATCTGCAAAGGGATTTTGATGGGTTGTGTGGAGGGAGGTTTCTTTACACATTGTAGAACAGATTGTGGCATAAGATGTTTATGTAACAGCTACCTAACCACACGGTCCTATTTTGGGGGCTTTTGTCTGTCTGTACTTCTGTTTCTTCAGCTATTGCTTGCAGCTTTCACCTGTCACATCACATCTACTATTAGACTGTAAAAGCTTTGTGACAGGGAGGGTGTTAGTCAGCACGCTGTGGGAGCTCTGAAGAACAGTAATTAACAGTGTTTCAAACTCTGCTTTGGGGTGGACTTTCTGTGCCTACAAATGTAGAAGATGCATGCTGCTTCATAAAAAATATGGCTCATGTAATACAAAACATGAGCTTAAAATACAAATGGTACTAACTGTTCTTCTCGTTTCATTGGCCCTTTGACAGGTCAGTCAATTTCAATCAATGCAACTTGGAATTAATTCCTTTCTGTTCTGTTATTTTTCAGGATAGTGTTGGAGAGAGCGCCTTCCATTTCATGCTCACCTCATTTCATTGCATCATTGTTGTTAGTGCCTGGAGGCCCCAAATGAGATCAGTGCCCCACTGTCCTAAGCATTGAACACATGCATTGTAAGTCTCTGTCTCAGCCATTCTCCTCAGCAGCCAGCAGTCTGAGCAGACAAGACAGAAAAAGGGTGTGAAGGAAAAGAGAGGCACAGAAAAGGGCAGTGATTTTCCCAAGGTCACGTGTTAGGCTGATGGCAGAATGAAGAATGGTACCATTGTTGCTTGACACCAATCAGTGTCCTGTTCATTAAACCAAACTGCATTGTGCAGACCAAGTTTTTCTTCATACACTTGGTGAAAACTTAAGCAGGGAAGATATGCTTCTTTATCATAAAGACAAATTCTAGTGACCTTTTCTTAAAAAAAACTGTAACTGTGTGCTTTGATGGATGGACTTGAAATTTGTCAGAAAAGCGGACTTTTTGTCTCAGAGGTTGTGTGTGCTGACCCTGTAAAAAACATGCTCAGATATGGTGAAGTTATAACTCTGAAAAAACGGTTTGGACACATTCTGTAGAGACATTCTTTAGAATTTACCAGCTAAATTTTCCAAAGATTCCACCTGCCCCAGGCTATGTGTCAGCCTGTGGCGCAGAGGGACTATCTGAGAAACTGCAGCTCTAGTCTGTGTAGGCCATGCTGCAGATCAGGTCAAGGCCACTGAACTAAGGGCAGTGAATTTCTTTTCCTCTTCTACTCTAAGGCTAGGTACAGACATTTTAAAAGCCTGAGGTGGAATTGATCTAAGTCACATGGTTTTCTGTAAGCAGCGTAGTTTAGATTGGTAGTGAACAGAGTGCACATTCACTCTTAGGTAGGAGGGAGGAGCAAATCTTAGACCAGGTTCCACCATTTTTAAACCAGTCTACAGGCGCATCTACACATGCCAATTTAAGGCATATTAGTCATTTTTAAGGTGCATCAAGGGCACAAGTCAACACGTGCATGCCCTTAATGCACCTTCAAAGTGGCAATGTTAGGCTATTTGTACCTAAATTTGATACCTGCAAAAGCAGGTATCAAATTTGTGCGCAGATAACTAATGCACATTAGGCAAATGTGCATTAAGTTTAGGTGTGCATAAAAGCATGTGTAGACATGCCCTATGTGTGCAAAACTTCTGTTCTGTTATGGGTATAGACCATTTTTGTGTGTCGAACTTCTGTTCTGTTACAGGTATAGCCTGGTTTCCGATCACTTATACCAGTAAAAGTGCAATGTCCGTACCTGGCCTAAAAGGCTATGTCTACATAGTTAATTTAGCATGTCTGACAGTGGTGCCCTTAGATCTGCTGCACTGCTCTAGGTAGGTTACCTCTACTGGAAACAGTTTAACCAGGGGTCATTAATACCTATGGAATGAAGAGATTAACAGGAATCAAGTAGATAATAATTAGGCCTGTGTGAAGTGGCTAATATTCACTTCAGATTCGGATTCAGTTGATTCGGGGGACAGTGATTCAATTCAATGATTCCTATCACTGTCCTGAATAGTTTCGACCAAATTTGATTCAGAGATTCAACTGCTGCCGAATCAGCCAATTCTCCAAATCACACAGGCCCCATCCCCCGCCTGCTCTCAATGGTTGCCCTGCCCAGCCCCAGCTCCTGGCTCTTTGAAAAAGAAATTCCCTACTCACTGGCTGCTGCTGGGGAGGG